GAGTAGGCTCTTCACTGGTTCTGGCCCAGAGTCCCCACCTGTGCATGTTCTGTATGTTGTTGTGTGATAACACTGAGCATCTCCTTCACTCTAAGGAAATCCGAGAACTGCAGGCCCAACTTCAGGAACAGCACATCCAAATTGATATGGATGTTTCTAAGCCTGATCTTACTGCTGCCCTGCGTGATGTTCGCCAACAGTATGAAAGTGTTGCTGCTAAGAATCTTCAGGAAGCTGAAGAGTGGTACAAGTCCAAAGTAAGTAGAATCTGTTCAGATGCATCAGATGCTCAAGCTAACTGTACCATAACAGCTTTGCTGTAGCATTTGGTGTTCCCCCTGTCTCTCTACTGGACACGAACACACCCAAAGAAGACTAGGGTCTTCTTTGAAGTCCTAGTCTGGGAAGAGTAGAGTCGTAAACACTATTTTGTGCCATAAGTACAGTATCAAAGTAATGGGTTCATACTTGGAGTCTTTCCTATTCTTGTACCTAGAAGGAGATGTTGGATGGAGAAAGGAGTGAATGAACAGGTGAAAAAATGAAAAGATGGGAAACATACAGGGTGGGGAAACAAATATGAAAGGTTTAACTATGAATTCCAGTTTAACAATTAGAAATAGAAAGGCATTTTAAGAGTAATGCCAGTATTTAAATATTTCAGATGTTAAGGCTTGTAATGGCTCCAGTTGCCCTCAAATGCTGTGTCAAAAAAAAGTCTCTTTACTCCGTCTGTGGAAGTGTTACACTAACCAAACTGAGAATTTCCACAGTTCGCAGATCTCTCTGAAGCTGCTAATAGGAACAACGATGCCCTGCGCCAGGCCAAACAAGAAGCTAATGAATACCGCAGACAGATTCAGTCTCTCACCTGCGAAGTTGATGCCCTTAAGGGAAGCGTAAGTAGAAGAAAGCAGTTGTTGGAACATTCTTCCCTTTGCAGCTTTCAGCACTGCACTGCAGTTTAATTGTTGATGTAGATGTGAATGCAGCTGATCTCCCATGCCATACAACAGCATGTTAGTACTTTTTGAGGAGGATGCTATGGACTCAATTTGCTCGCATGATTAGATTGATATACTGAACCTATTCTTACCTAAGGTATAAACAATGAGTTTGTTCCCTTGCTATAATATTCACCATTTATTTAACACTTTCTGGAGGTGTTTATGGCTA